TATAAGTAAATAGATCAAGAAAAAAAAACATGAACTCATCCTACATACAGCTTGAAGTCGAACGTAGGGACTAAACCTCTTGCGATAGATACGAAGACAGCACCAACGCAACTCTTTAGGGACGAATGCGACACTGTATCATATTTATCAAATGGAACATTACCGTGTAGAATGAGTTTTTATAACGAAACGTTTGTGATGTCTCACCTTTGACACGTAGTTGGTATTGGAACCTATTATGACGCAATAGCCTTTGCTTTGAAGTACGCCCGATCTCTTTACACAGTACTTGGTAATTGCGGCAATGCTTCCCACTTAAAAGGAGTTTTTAATCTGGAAATAAACGAACCAATATTCTCTAAGTAATAAACACAGAAGCTGGTATGACTCCTATGTTTCACGTGACCAGGCATGCTGCATTTGCGAACTCAGGAGTCTATAAGCAATCTCCACCGGAATCGAGCCGTACACTGTTTACAGAAACGATATAAAACCTCCGTCAGTCAATATATTCAACTGATTCCGATATAATCTATGACTGAAAGAAAAGTTATAAATGCTAGCACTTTTTTCCGAGGTATGCACCCGAAACCTTGGATTTGGCTTGCATTTCGCCTCAAAGCAAGAATACAACACTTGTTCGGTGCTAATTCTTAATGCATGCGCTACCGGTGCCATGGGCAGTCACGGGGTAGTAATGCATAAACGAATGGAATCGCTCGTAAACTCGCCATACAGGCCATTCTAGGTAAATATTGAGAAATTGAAGTGACTGAAGTCTTCCACTCTTGCCAAAAAAGCAAGAAATTTTAAAGAACCGATCTCAAGATTACCAGCCCACGAGCCCGAGCCGCCGCCAACTACGCCGCTGATGATGGGACTTGTTGGCACCTGGGTGTGGTTTTCGAAAACAGAAAGCGATGTTTTGCGTTCGCAGCGCAAAACATTTTTCGCTGCGGGAACCTCAGGTCCACCGCTGATCATGAGTGGACTGGAGTTCCCGCAGCGAAAAATGTTTTGCTTTCTGTTTTAGTGAATCCACAACCTTAGCACCTCGCCCGCCTTATGTTGTGAACAGCCGTCGATGGAACTTTTTATTCACATGGAAGAATGAACAATAACTGAACCTTACTCCATGAGTGGGGTTTATATACCCCATTCATGGTGATATGAGATCACAGTGAGCGGCGAAAACACCTTATACGCGTAGCAGCGCGGAGAAAAGGAAACGCAGATTTGAGATCAGAGTTTTAAGAAGGATACAGAATTACAAATGTGGCCCTGAATGGGCTGAATGGGCATAGCAACCTCGTATCCTTTTCTTGTGATCTGTATACAACTCAATAAAAAGTAAATAGCAAATAAAGTTCACACTAGTAAACAATGCTAGGAATTAGGAATGAACATAAAGCGAAGAGCGGACTAAAAAAACAAACATAAACACATCACAGCTCACCTCGCTATCTTCATAAAGTCCTTGTTGCGAGCTATAGTGCATCGACACTATCTCTATTGTGTTTCCACCGCGAAAAAATTGCCCATGTCCTTTTACACGTCGTGACGTGGGAATGGAAACTGAAATGTCTATGTATGAAACGAAAAAAGAAAACCGTTCTAAGCTTGAAGGAACTTCACGATAAGAACGAAAGTCGAAGAAGGAGAAAATTACCTAGTGGGGAGACAAGCAGACCTCCTGAGGGTGCTATCAACACGCAATTAGCGACCTTTTCGCTTTCCGCGCGAAACTTTTTTCGCTGAGGGGACAGCAGCTTCAACCTGACCAGGAATGGACCTAGGGTCCTTGATGTGTGTTACTAGAACAGGAAGCGACCTGCGCTGCTAGAACCTTAGCTCTACCGCTGATCATAAGAGGGCGTGGTGTTCCCGCAGCGAATAACGTTTCGGGCTGCAAACAGCGAAGAAGTTTCTGTACTAGTAAACCACACCCAGGTCCTTTCAGCGAAAAAGTGGCTCAGCGAGGAGCAAGAAAGAAACGCTTCCTGTCCTAGCACACCATACCCCTGCGCTCTTTGCGTAAGACGCTCTCTCTCACCTACCCCCCCCCCCCCAACGTGAGCCAACAAAGAAGTCATAAGAACTGAACAGAGCAACTATTGAATAAAAAAACGCAGTAAATTGTGCCAAAGTAACAATTAGC